GTGCGTGTGTGTGCTGCAGGAGCGCTCAGCCCCGGCTCCTGCCTGCCTCTCTCTGTCATCATCTCTGAGCTGGTGATTTTTTCAAATTCCTACAGTTGTATTAATTTAAAAGGATAAACTCAATCAGCGAAGCTCATTACTTTCCATCTCGTGGCTTATTTACATGGATTCTGGCTGCTCCAGCCCTCACTTTGCTATCATAGGAACGTCAATTACTTTTTACAATAAAAATCAATGCCGTTGAAACAAGAAATGTTCTCCTACAAAATGCCACAGAGCTGCCCCAGCCCAGTAGTGGCTGCCATGTGCCTCATGGGAGGTGGCTGAATTCACCCTCTCCCTCGCCAGAAGGAGTCTTCATGTTCCTGCTCCTACCTATGGTCCTCATCCCACTCCACTGCAGGATTGGGCCGGGGGGGGGAGGGTAGATGTCATTGTAGGGCCTCTCTGGTCCCTAATGAGCTCCAGTGATGGAGAAGGAAACATGGGGGGTGGCCTGGAGGCAGCTCTGGTGCATTACCTGATTGCTTCTATCGTGAGAACACCAAAGCTGAGCCCTCAAAGAGTGCCAGAAATTATCCATCCTTTTCAAACTTTTTTCCTCCTCTATTATTCAGAATTGTTTTGCTTTTCTGAACTGCCTTGTGTAGGTTGTAGCAACCCCACAGATTCCAGAATGGGAGATGATGAGTCACTGTCAAAATGTAGATTTTTTTTTTCCTTTTCTTTTTCTCCCTTTTAGCAATGCCGAGGGAATAAAGTCTGTGACACTCAGGCGCTGGCACTGCCTGCAGCAGCAGCATCTCTCAGCAGCCGTGATACAGAGCCTGGCTCTGCCCAAGGGGACACCCAGATCCCCCCAGGCACTGCCCAGCCCTGAGCTGTGGGATCATCGCTGGGCACTGGGCTGTCCCTGTGTTTTGTTGCCCACATTCAAGCTCCTGTCTGAGCCAGCATCTGCCCATCCAGCTCCGCAACCACGCTGCTGCCTCTGCCACCTTCTTGCAGTTGCACTCCGTTAGTTTGACTTGGGGATTTTCCACTGTTTTTTTTTTTTTTTTTTTTTTTTAAGGGTAAGAAAAAAAAAAAAACCTTCAGAAAATACATATCTGTGTAGGTGACAGCTGAGACACCAACCACCACCAGAGTGGGGGAGAGGGTGTGAAGGAGGGGGAGCCACATCCCATGCCATTGCCCTGCTGGGGACCTGGCACCGGGCCACTGCGGGGAGCAGGGATGCTCAGGAGGGCCGTGATGCTGGGGAAGCAGTGTGCCAAGCTGCAGGGAACCCATCTCAGCACAGCAGTGTAGAGCACAGGGCTTTTCCCAACCGTTGCACACACTAATCTTAGTTCAGCAGCTTGCCAGCAGGGTTCGTGCAAGCAGATGCCTTGTGAGAAGGTGGCAGGCTGCAGTCTGAAGGACCACAAAGCCTGTTTCAGAATGAGAAAACACCAGCCCTAAACCTGCTGTGTCCTCATCGCTTTGCATCGAGTGCACAGGGTGCAGCGCTCGGGCAGGCAGTTCTCAGCCCGGTGGCACCACGTGAAACTGGGGAAGGGAAGGAGAAAATGAATCCTTCCAACTCTGCAGACATCTGGGTGGTGGGCGGGAGGTAAAAAAAAAAAAAAAAAAAAAAGAGAGAGAGCTCTGGAGTTTGGATTCCTGGGAGATATTTTTTCCTGGGAAAGTCTTGCTGGGAGCTGGGTGCCTGAGCACCTCCGAGGTGTGCTGCCGGCACACAGCACAGAGTGCTGCAGCTGAGCTCCAGGCTCTGTTCTCCTGTGGGTGGTGAATGCCAGAGGGCTCAGGGCACCACGGCCATGTCCCTATGCCATGCAGGTACAGCCGGATGGGCTGTCTGTAGCTGAACACCCCAGGCAGAGCCAAGTGCTGGGCCTGACCTGGCAGCCGGACTGTGGCTTCCGCTGGGCTGAGCCCACTAAGGGAAAGGCTGGTGGGAGCTCTGTTCTCACTGAAGAGCAGTGTTAGCTCATCTTCCCAAGCCCAAGTTGTGCTTTGCACACTGAGCAGCTGCAGCGATCTCTGAAAGCTGTTCCACTGGATGAAAAATAATGATGTATTAAAACCACAACCGGAGCTCTTTGCTCTTCTGGCTGCTCAGGTGAGGGTCTGTGTCCCTGACTGTTAACACTGCTGGCACTGTGAGAACAGTGTTTTTCCCAGCCCCCTCCCGTGGCCCTCTCTGGGGAAAGGGCTGTGAGGGGAAACGGACCTGAGATAAAATCAATTAATTGCCTTTGCATTCTCTGATAAATGCAGCGCAGAGAGTGCCTACATCGAAATACAAATGAACTAAACCAGCAGCAGCAGAAGGCTGAAAGGAAACATTGCCTCGGGAGCAGGGGGAGCAGAGGGCAGCATGAGGGTTGTGTGCAGTGGGGGGCTGCAGTCTGGGGAGTGAAGGGGGTTGAGGAATTGCCTGGAGCACAAGGTGGAGGGAATGCAGTCCAAAATGCTGAATGCAAAATGTGTTCTGTGAGTTCATCTCTTCCAGGTTTGCTGTTCCTTACAGGCAGGGCTGCCATGAGAGCAAGTCAGTGGACAGAGGCTTTTCACAGCCCATGGTCGGGTTCTGTCGCACCGCAGTGCTGTCCTGCAGGGTAGAATGAAGGGACACGGAGCAAGCAGCAGCATGAGGGTGGCTCCTCCCGAGGAGAGATGGGAGTTGGGAGCACTCAGCGTTGTATTTGTTTGGAGTTTGGGACATTTTTGGTGTGTCGGGTGACTAAACAGTCACCATGGTAACAGTCATCAGTTAATGAACAGAATGGAGTAAAGGATCCGACATAAATGTCAGAGCGTGAAATAGATGCGGCGGGGCGGCAGCGTGGGGTGTGCGGTGCCATGCCCCAAAGGATGGGGCTCAGAGCTGGGGCTGAAGGGTGTGGGGGCCCTGAAGTGCTGCCCCTAAGCATGGGCAGCAGGCAGGAACTGGTGCTCAGTCCTGCAGCTGAGCAAAGGCTCTGTGCCAGCACTGGAAAAGTCACTTTTTTATGTGTGTGTTATTTGTTTGCTTTTCTTCATTATTTTTTTAAGTCACTCTCTGTTGCAAAAGAAGTGTTTTGGTGGGTCAGAAAGCACTGAAGCAGAGAGGTCGCAACTTCAGCTGGGGAGGGGAGTCGATGCAGCACAGCTGTGTGCATTCTGCTGCTGCTCAGTGCTTCACTCCTGATGGAGCTGTGCTGTTGGGTTGCACTGGGGAAGGCAGAGCTGCATGGGCAGAGCAGGGCTGGAACTTCACTGCTGTCCAGGCACTTAGAGAGACAGAACTGTGCTGGAACCTTGGCTCTTCCACCAGCTAACTCATCCCTGGTTGAGAGTAGGGATATGTCATGGTGGGACCTGGTGTCAGGGTGCTGGCATTTGGTGTGGTCCCAAAGCTGGGTGACAGCTGGGAAGGAAGGAGAGAAATACAGTGGGCAGTGCATGGGGCAGAGCATGGCTGATGGGCACAGGGCGAAGGAGATGCAGGAAGCCAGGAGCTGGGAAGGAGGAGGAAGAGGTGGCTGTGCCACATGTGCTGTCCTTGCCATGCCCAGTGCTGCCTGCCCCAGCGGTGCTGCCCATTCTCAGCCTCCCCTGCGCCCACAGTTCCCAAAGCAACAGGAGCAGGCGCTTCCCCCTCTGATGCCGCGTCTCTGCTCCAATGACAGCTTGCCACCTCCAGAGCTTCATTGCCAGGCTTTAATTGATGCCTGTCATGATGCTCAGCTCCCCCAAGCCCAGAGCTGGATCTGATGGGGATGGGGTACGGTAGGAAGCAGCATGACTTGCAATGGCTTTGGGTAGGCCAGGAGTACATGGTGCATCTGTATGATGGTCCCCCCCCCCATCTGTATGATGGAAGAGAGGTCCCCAGGACCTGCACTGGGTCAAACTTCATGTGAGCATTGGCCGCTTCAGGCTGGAGCCATAACCCAAACGGAGACAGCTGCAGAATCCCTCCTGCCCCATCCTGAGCTTTCATTTCAGAGAAGACATGCTCCATGCCTCAGTTTTCCCATGCATAACATCAGGAACAACATTTATCAACACCTGTGCACACTCCTGCATTAATATTTGCTGCTCACTTTGGAGACAGCGGCTCTGTGGGTCCTGCAGGCTCTTTTCCCTTGCTCGCTTCCTGCACCACTCTGCTGTGCATCACCTGGCAGGAGTGGGCTCATCCTTGGCTTCTCCCTTCTGTGGCACAACCACATCACTTTGGCACAGGAGAGAGCTGAGCCCTGAATCACAGCAAGGAATGAGCCAAAGCAAACAGGCAGACACTTAGAGGCGAAATGCTTTTGTTTTGCTTCAGAGGCAGGAGGGGAGGGAAAAACCAAAAAAAAAGAAAAAGAAAAAGAGCCTTTTTTTCCAAGTGTGACCTGGGAGGCCACCAGGTGCAGAGGATCAGCTGCCCCAGGCACTCCCAGAAGCCGTGTAGATCTCAAGGCCCCGCCTTGTGTCTCCCCAGGAACCTTCCGAGGAGTCTGCAAGAAGATCGACCACTTTCCTGAGGATGCGGACTACGAGCAGGACACAGCTGAGTACCTCCTCCGTGAGTCTGCTGCCCCACACATTGCCCAGAGCCCCAGGGTCTCAGCATGGACTCCCGGTGCTGGGATGAGGCCAATTCCCTCCAGCACCTTCTGAGCCCTTTGTTCAAATGTGAGGCACAAAGGTGCAAACTGACAGCCGCTGGGGGAAGTGAGCACGCACAAGGCATACCCTGACTGAGCAGGGAATGCAAGTGTGCAATGCCCAACTTGTCAGCAAACAACCCCGTGTCAGGCTGGACAGTTTGCATGGCACATTGAGAGGGCACCACAGGCACAGTGACCCCCCAGCAGTGCTGCAGCTCTGCAGGGAGTGCTGCGCTGTGCACCTGCCTAGGGAGGAATGTCTCTAATGGAGTTGGTTTGCCATTTTAGTAGATGAGCATTTAAGCTCTTCTCCCACCCCCTCCCACAGTTAAAACAAAAAAAAAGAGTCTATTTTAAAGCCCCCAGAATGGCATTTTAATGGGGCTCCTCTGTATTACTGTGCATTTAATATGGGCCCTAAGAGAGGCATGAGAGCCCAAACCAAGGCACAGCATATTTTAGGTGCCTTTGTTTTAGCAGCAGGGAGGGATTTGCTGCATTAATTGCTCTTTGCAGTCAGTTTGGAGGCTGAACTTCTGAAAGGATGAAAAGACCCCTCTTTAAGTAGTAACTCCTGAGATCTGATATCCATAGGGCCATAGCAGCAGCCTGTGTGCCAACATATGGTCCTTCAGCCTGTGCCCTGTCTTTACACCACAGGTGCTGTCAGAGCCTCCAGCATCTTCCCCATCCTCAGTGTGGGCCTGCTCTTCTTTGGGGGTCTGTGCGTGGCAGCCAGCGAGTTCTACAAGAGCAAACACAACGTCATCCTCAGCGCCGGCATCTTCTTCGTTTCAGCAGGTGATGGGCTCTGGGCTTGCTGGGGAGCACAGAGGCTGGGGGCAGGTTCGGGTCCCCAAGGCCAGCAGCACAGGGGGCTCAGCTGCGGAGCTGTCCCAGAAGCAGGGGGGAAAACCCACACAGTGCCACTGAGAGTCCAACACAGGGCAGGTTGTGCGGAATCTGCCCTCAGCCCTGTGAAGCCTGCAGTGCTGGGCAGCAGGTGGAGTGGCTGCTGCAGATTTCCTGCAGAGCAGTACCATCAGGGCTGCTCCTCTCTGTGCACAGCTCCCCAGCGCTCCCACTGATTATCTTACGACAATGTCTTTGTCTCAAGGAACTGCTCTATTCTGTGTTTTTCTTCTCCCCACAAAGAGACAAATTACTCTCCCTCTCCTGGCTGGAAGAAGCCGCTGATGCAGATGAGAAAACAACAGAAAAAAACATAATCGATTCATTAAGTAAATACAGAAATGTATCAGCAGCTTCCCAGCCCTGAAGCTCTGCTGGCAGTGCAGAAATTGCCCAAAACCCAAAGAAAGTCTTTGGGCTCCGTCAGGAACTGAGAGACAGAGTCACTTTGCTTCGTGCAGGTGGGAACTGGGGCTGACCCTGTAGGGATGCTGCTGGTCCCATCCCTCTCCTCCTCCCACAGGTCTCAGCAACATCATCGGGATCATCGTCTACATCTCAGCCAACGCGGGGGACCCGGGGCAGAGCGACTCCAAGAAGAGCTACTCCTACGGCTGGTCCTTCTACTTTGGTGCGCTGTCCTTCATCATCGCCGAGATGGTGGGGGTGATCGCCGTGCACATGTACATCGAGAAGCACCGCCAGATCCGCGCCAGGTCCCACTCGGAGCTGCTGAAGCGGTCGGCATTCACCCGCCTGCCCCCCTACCGGTACCGCTTCCGCCGGCGGTCCAGCTCGCGCTCCACCGAGCCGCGCTCCCGGGACATGTCGCCCATCAGCAAGGGCTTCGGCACCATCCCCTCCACCGACATCTCCATGTTCACCCTCTCCAGGGATCCCTCCAAGGTCACCATGGGGACGCTGCTCAACTCGGAGCGGGACCACGGTTTTTTACAGGTCCACAACTCCATCCCCAAAGAGTTTAAGGAGTCTTTGCACAACAACCCGGCCAACAGACGAACCACGCCGGTCTGAGCCCTGCCGCCGGGCACGTGTACAGAGGTGTTTTGTCAGGCTGCATGACATGATCCTCGTGACGGTGTAACCCATGAAACCCCACTTTTAAGGACACCCCAACGAGCTCCCCGTGCCCCTTTCCCCAGGTGCCACCCTGGGGGACGCCGGGCTGGGACGTGCTGTCCTGGTGGGCACAGCCCCAGCGCCCAGACGGCAGGTTGGGGGATTCCCAAAGTCACCATCGTTAATGTTGATAATAACCGCAGTGTTCCCTTAGCTGTATGTCCCACTGGAAATGCTGGCGACAGCCCTGTCTGTGAGAACCCCGTCGGGTCATTACTCCCAGCGGAACGCCTGGAGCCCAGAGCTGGCTGCTCTGCTCATGGTCTTGAAACCGCGTCCCGCTGTGGTGGGTGGAGTGATCAGGATGGGCTTTTTTATGGTGTTTCGTGCATGCATTAAATAGCTTGGAATTCAATTTTGTCATGTCAGGTTGGAAGAAACATCCTTTTGCAATTTTCTGTGGTCATGAAAGGGCTTCTTTCTTTTCTCCATTCTTTCTTTCTTCCTTTTGGTGCATTCAGACCATGAATGGACTCAGGAGCAAAATTTCTCCAATGACTGGTAGCAATTAGCCAGCATTTAATTAACCTCTAACGTTGCAAGAAAATGAAATAATTCCTGAAAATTAATACCCTCTCAGCCACAAATTACTGTCTGGGTACAACAGAGGGGGCTACACTTGACCTGGTCACGCTGAGAAGAAGCTGGGATTATGACCGGGCCTTGGCTGTGGTTGGTGTGCTGATGGTGTGTGGTTCTATAATGAATATGACCAGGAGATGAATGGGAAAAATAACAATAAAGTCATCCAGTTTGGCAAGCAAGTTCCTTGGCTGGATAGGTGGTGTGTGCTGTGCTGTGTCACCAGGGATTGTGCACAGCATCTCATTGGAGTTGCACCCCATGCAGCTCCAAGCTCTCCCACGGGGCTGTTGGGGGATGCCGGGGGGCTGCATGGGGAAGGGGCTACTCTGGGTCCGGGTATTTCTGGGTGCAGTGGGAGCCCCTGTGTGCTGGCTCTGCTTCTGGTTCGCTCTGAGCACTGAGCCGTGTCCCTGTCCAGAGCAGGGCTCATCTGGATGCAGCAGGGCCTGAGCAGCTGCTCCTAGAGCTGTGCACTTAGAGGAAGCCTCACATAACTGCCTGGCTAAAATGATGGATTCCCATGGCAGCACCATGGGTGTAGGGGTAGAAGAGCTCCTGATTGCCCGGTGCAAGGGAAGTTCCCGGTGCAGCTCGTGTCCTCATGGCTTGTTTGCTGCTGTTGTAAGGAGTGGGTGAGAAGTCCTATTCAGATGCTAATTAGGCCTCCTAATTGCAGCAGTCGCTGATTGCATGTATTAAAAACAGCCGAGGAAGTGAAGCATCCCGATCCTAGGGAAATATTTAAACACGAAGTAGTAAAAGGACTTGTGGTGTAGAATGCAGAAACAGCAACATTTTAGTTTACCTGGGCTGTGATCACCAGCCCTGCAGGGCTCCACAACTCCCAGCACACCTTCTCTAGGTGGGTGCCCTTCGAAAACAGCATTAAGCAATGCCAGGGTGTCCTGGTGGCAGCAGGCTGACCGTGAGTCAGCAGAGTGCTTTCAAGGCCAAGAAGGCTAATGGTGTCCTTGTCAACCTATGGCTGACTAATTGTTGACCACAAGGGTGCCCATTAGCCAGCAGCGTGCCCTGGTGGCCAAGAATGCCAATGGGACTCTGGGCTGCATTGCACAGTGAGGCTAGCAGGTGAGAGAAATGATCTTCCCCTCTGCTCTGCCCTAGGGAGGCTACACCTGGAGCATTACACCCAGCACTGGGCTCCCTAGGTACTGACAGACAGGGAGAGACCCCAGTGGAAGGCTGCAAACCTGCCTGGATGTGTCCTGTGCAACCTGCTGCAGGGAACCTGCTGTGGGGATTGGAACTCCAGAGCGCCCCTCCAACACCTACAGCTCTGTGCTTCTCTAAAAGTGACTTTTTTTTCAGGACTAAATCTCCAGAAAGCAGCTTCCAGCTGAGTCACCAAATACTGCAGGTAAGAAGCTCTGATTGTACTTACCGGGAACAGCAAAGCGTGTGAGCAGGGCACACTGGTAGCTGGGAACAGATTCCAGCAGCTCAGCCCAGCAGCAGGACTGCTTACGCCCCTGCCTCCCCAGCAGGCGGAGCAGCTACAGGGCTGGGTGGAGCGCAGCTCACTGCCAGCAAACGCTGGGTCTGCTTTAGGCTGAGAAACTCCAGTGTCATGGCAATTGTCGGTGATGTAACTGAGCGTGCTGTTAAGACGATGACATCTGCTGTCTTGTATTAACTGCCTTTGTGGTCACCTGTGGGAGCAGTGCTCGGGAGGAACTGGGGTGCTACTGTGCTATGTGCTGCACCAGCACAGTGTACTTTGGTGCCCCAGAGACACGTTTGGGGTGATTTGTATTGCTGGTGTTTTCCTTGAGGGAAGTGAGCCAGGAGACAGCAAAGGACAGAGAATTGATTTTCCAAAGGTAACTGAGTTATCCCTGATTCACTGACAGGAAGCAGGAGGTGCCCCAGGACATGGTCTCTCTGTGGGGTGCCAGGGATGCAGCAGCATAGGCTGCACACCATTGCTTTACTTTCCTGGAAGCTGGGCTTGCTATCTGAAGGGTTTGTTTGGTTATTTCTGAGGCAGACCACCTCCAGCTGTTGATCTTTGTAATGTCACTGTCCTTTTGTTGTTGGTTTTTTTTGTTTGTTTTTTTGGGTTCTTTTGTCCTTTGCCCTCTGTCTCGCCAAGCCCTGATCAGCACATGGCACCACTGCTTCTGGCTGGGAGAAAACAGGTACTGCCACTGCATCTGGTGGTAGTGCCCCAGCAAAGGCTGAGCTGGAAGATGTTAGCAGAAAAGAGACAAGCATGGAGACCTGGGTGCAGAGTGGAGCAGTGGCACAGCCTTGCAACTGGTGACACTGAAATGAGTTGCAGCTGCTCCCTGCAAGAGTGAGTGGTGGCAAAGGGATGCAGGGAGGTGGTGATGGAAGGTGGTCTCTGCCACGTGCCACATCTGCCCTGTGTGCCAGTGTCTGCCCTGAGAAAGAAAATCAATACCCAGGCTAAATCCAGAGTCTTCAATATTTTTTACAGAAGCACAAATCAATATGGATTTCTTAACAAGTTTAATTTCAGTACCTGAAAGTCTGCATTCTGCCTATCTCCCGATCTTCCCAACCATTCAGGGAAAAAGGATTTTAAAAGATTTGTTCAAATTTAAGGAACTGGACCAGCAGTTACCCCCTTACCTCGTTCTCTTGCTGCCAATCCCAGGGCATAGTGCAGGCAATCACCACATGCTGTGTCCCCACTGATGCCACTGTGGGCAGGGTTCCTGCTGCTCCTCCTTCCAGCCCACACCAGCCAGCCAGTCCCAGCCTACATGGTGTGTGAGCAGCCTGATTTAAGGGTGCTGCAGAGCTTGGGAACAGCTCTGTATTTATCGTACAAAGCCTTTTGCAGTTTTAGATCATTGTATGGTCACTGCAAAATGAGCACAAGCTGTGGGCTCATCTCACCTGAGCAGAAGACTTCAGGTAATGTTACTGCACTAAGAATGACCCATCTGAAAATGTAACGAGCTTCATTCTGGTTAAGCTGCTAATGCAACTGTGTCCACCAAGGTCAGCATCTGTTGTTCCAATGTCAGCACAGGAGTGGCTGTTGCCATAGGTACTGCATCCATCCTGCTGCAGAGGGACCGCGCAGTAGGGGCATGCAGGAGGCAGAGGGATGGGGCCAGAGGCACAGCCCTGGGATGGGGATAGCAGTGGGGAGCTGCAGCCCCTGCATTCTGGTCACTGAAGGTCCTGCTGCTGCTTGCATCTCAAGGGAGTGCTTTAATTGCTGTATTCCTGTTTTAGTAGACAGAAATCCCAACTAGGAGGTGCACGCATCAGCTGGCAGAAGTTGGCACCCATACAGATGTGGAGGGAACATCATCTGCATGTGGATCAGTGTGGAGCTTCCCTTTTCCTCCTTCCCTTTTCGTCCTTCCCTTCCCACCATGTTCTCTTAAGCCCAGCTCTGCAGGTACCGACATCCCACACCGTGCTGTAGGATGAGCTCCTCAACCTCAGCAGCCACCTCCTTGGTTGCTCATTCCCTGACATTGTCCTTTGCCCTCCCTTGCTTTGATTTGTTTGTTGTTTTTTTTTCTACCATTTGAAATAACTCTCAAAAGCCCAGCGAGTCCAAGCAATTCATAGCGCGTGTTTATTTTTTCCCTGATGGACAGTAATGGCTTCTGCAGTGCCATTACTATATATCATCTAAATCCAAGAGCTGAGGTGCTCCAAAGGGCAGCCTTCATTCAGCAGCTGTGAGAGCTCCTCCAGCACCGTTATCAGCTGCTGGGAGCGCTGTGCACCTTAAATCTTTGCTTGGCCATGGCTGCTAAGCCCAGCTCTTAAATTTCCCCAGGAAATGCCCAAGCAGCAAACCCTCATCTCAGCAGCATCTCTTTGCTGACAAACTGCTGTCACTCCATCACAACTTCCCCCATCTTTAGTAACCACCAGGTCTGCTGGAAAACTGCACCAAGTAGTGTTAAGAAGCAACTTGGTTTATTTTGATGAAATACAATAATTATCATGCTTAGCAGCTGTTGCTATTTAAAATAAGAAAAAACGGGGCTTGCATTGAAAATGTTTTGTAAACCATGTGCACCAACAATCTGTTTCAGTGAAACCAGCCATTATGGAAACCGTATAATAGCAGGAGCTCATTATGGAAAGTTAAATTGCAAATCATATTTTGTTTCAAATGAGCAAGATGAATGCATAATTTGCCTCAAAGAAATAGTTTTGCAGTTCTCATCCTGCTGCCAAGCACCAAAGCTCTCGGGCTGCAGCTGCCGGAGCTCTGATTGTCCATTTCAGACAACAGGAAGTTTTGGTTTCAAAGGAAGATTTGAAGAGAGAACGGGAGGAACAACAGCAAAAGGAAAAAAATAAATAGGCCGAACACTGCTGCTGCTCTCACTGTGCAGCAGTTGCAATGCTCAGCAAGTTTCCTGCAGAGACCCCAGCAGCCAAGTGGCAGAAGGCAAAGGGCTGCAGGGCTGGGGCCACCCCTTGTGACACCAGATGATGGCTGGGGGTCCCTGCAGGGTTCCCTCATGGGTGCAGACTTCCCTGCACAGAGCTTGCAGCTCCAACCTTCAGCCTGCATGTGTTCTTCCACAGTGAGAGTGTCACTTATGCACATGGCAGTGGTTATTATCCTGCCGTCACTGCTCTGTCCCTGTGAGTCCAGCAATCCCCACACAATAATGCCATCAGAGCTCATCCATTTGCACCAATTAAAAGCAATAGGAAATACTCCAGGGAGATTCAAGTCTCGCCTGCTCTTCCTCAGGGCCTGGAGTTCCCCTTATTCCCCATGGGAACAAAACACTCAGTGGCTCTGGTGCTGCTGAGTGTGCAGATGCCATGTGTTCCCTGCACATGTCCCCAGTCTGCAGGGATGGAGCAGCACTGGGATCCCAGCAGCTGGGAGAGGCTTCCAGGAGCAGCAATCCTTGCAGGGATGCTGTCAGCCCCCACATGTCAATGCAAACCACTGCCACCAGATTTTATCGCCAGCCTTAAACCAGAGCATACGTAGTAAGGGGGCTTGGCAGGGGATCCACTCCTATAAATTCTACAGTTGATAGGGAACAGAGCAGTGAGCTGCTGCCTTCAGGGAACACCACAGGGAGCTGAGGGGTGGACATCGACCATGGGACGGCAGTTGTGGGGGGTCCCAGCAAAAGCCATATCAGGAAGACAGAACTGTGGGAGGAGGGGTTGTTCAAGAGCCAAAGTACAACAGGAGCCTGCCCTAAGGTCTCCACATGGGCACTCCCTGTCTCTTGTCCCCTAACCGAGACACTACAAGGGCTCTCCGAGGAGCCTGTAAGCATAAAGCACGGCTGCAGCTGTGCTAATTGGGGTGCATTGATTGCAGCTGCACCAAGGGTGCAGGCAACTGAGGGGGGACCAGACACAACAGAAGCTGTGGGGTCTGTTCCTAACCTGCAGGCTGGGGCTGGATAGAGCTCACTGCATCCTCAGAGTGCCAGGAGCTGCTGTGCCCAGTTCCAGGTGAGCCCACTGCTGCGGAGAGCTCTTTAAGTGCTGCTGGCACCAGCAACGTGGCTGAGCAAAAAGTGCTCCATTTGTCTCTTTCAGGCTTACAGCAAATGGAAAAGCAAGAAATTGGCAGCAGGTAAATTGTTGCTATTTGAGACTATAAAATAACGGAGGAGCAAGCACAGCAAGTGGTGCCATCACAGGGCTGGGAGCAAGGAGTGCTCTCCTCCCAGGGCAGGCATGTGGCTTCTCAGAGCCTTTCAAGGTGCTGTGTATCTTCACAGAGGATTTCAAACCAGTTAACTTAGCAGTAAGGTAGAACAAATAATTGAGAAGATAATGAGTGTCCCATAACCTTCATAAAAATAGCAAATATTTAATAATACTGCAGGCTTTTATTTTTTCTTGAATGTGGGCCTTTTTTTCTCGTCCTGGAGCTCAAATCATATAGGTGATTCTTCCTGTTTCGCAGCCTTAATTAGCCTCTATTTCCTGCCTCTTGTCAGCACTGTGCAGCCAGCTCATTGCTTCATGCTGCTGCTGGGTATCTGCACTGTGTGGCTGTGCTCTGGAATTAAAATGTTTGTACAAAAGCCAAGGTTGCAAAGCCTGCATCTTTACAAACCTCCTTGTAAGAAACAGCAGCAACCCATGGGCATCAGTGCCCCATCCTGGATGGGATGTACCTGGGTCACACCTTCCACCAATGTGAGGCAGCAGAAGTCTCCAAAAGTCTCTCCAAAAGCCAGGAGGACACTGGGGATGGGCAGCTCAGCCTCAGGCAGGGCACAGCGCCAAGTTGCTTTCAGGCACTGGTGAAGTTCTCACGTGAGCTGCAGGAAATAGGCAGCAGGGGATTGTCACACAGCATCCGATGAGTGCAGCAGTCCTGTGAATCCTTGGGGAGACAGAGCCAGGCTGAGGGCCAATGACATGAACTCAGAGAGTTCAAAGTGCTCCTAGTGCTGCTTTGATTTGTACAAGCTCTGCTCCTCTGTGAACTCACTGCAGTACTTCTCCCCCACGCAGGCAATCCGTCTTGCTGCTTTCACTGGATTTTTCTCTTTTGTCTTTTTTTTTTTTTTTTTTTTAATAATTCTCCTTTTGCTGCCATTGGATTTTTGTCGCTGGTTCCC